TTTAAGAACGAAATTTCTAAATATTAAAACAAATCAACTCTTATAAGAAACAGAAAAGAAGAAAAAAAAGAAATTTTAAAACAATTAAAAGAAAAAAAGTGAACAAATCTAATAAACTCTTTACTATTTTAGATATAGAATTAAAGAATGTGAGATTTTACCTTTGTTGCAGAACCCGTTAGTTCTCTAAAATGTTGCACTGCTTTCATTAATGCAGCTCGCATGATATTATTCATTTTGCTTGCTCTCAAATCACCAGAGCTCTCTTGATAGAATACTTTTAAATTTTTTAAATTGATCGGCTCATCTAGCTTTAATTTAGTCACGTTAGGACCAACCAGTACCTTCAAAAAGGGTATCAGATCCTCAGCCTTTCTACAGAGTGGTCCAACTGTACACATAGTGTCTGGATAATCTTTTTCACGCAATCCAACTCCAGCTATTGGAGTCAATCCTAATAATATCAATAATCTATTATTATTACTATCATTATTATTATTATTATTATCATTATTAAGTATGAGTAAAGAGGACGTTAACTTTTATACCAATAAATGTGACAACATTAAATCTATTGTCTTTGATAACGATTTCTTTCACGTTCCCGATGTTTCCCTTATGATAAGCAATGCATCATTCAACTTCGCTTAAGCCTTTTAATATGATACATACATCTTTACATTTCAGAACTTCATATATTCAGGGTGTCTATGTGGCTAATAATGTGGTTAATCAATTCAAAGATAACTGCAAGACATTCCAGGTAAAAATCCTGGTTTTTCCAAGTCGAGTAATATTCATTACTAATTTTTATTGATTCGCGCAATATTATATATTTTATATTCAAGTTATAATTCTATATGGCAAATGAATTAAAATGCAAACAAATTTGGAACAATGTCACTTATTGCTTTATAAATAATATCAAAAGAACATTCAATACCGATAATTTCTCTGCTATATTCTATTTTATAATTGTAGACATTAAATCCAATTTTCTATTAATAACTTGCCTTATTGGATCTTTAAGGAAGGGCTTATACCCAAACACACTTTTCTTTTTATTAATGTACCACAAACATCACTTTATAAAATTATTAATTTATGGGCGTTTCATTAAATTATTAATCCGATTTTTAATGTCCGCACTTGCTTTAAAAGTAGTCATCTAAAAACTTTTATATATATATAAAACTTAACATCCTCATTTCAAAATTGCGTTAATAATATAATTTTAAACATGTTAAAGATACAAATATGAAATAAAATTTGAAATTTATCTTTTAAATTTAGTTATAGCAAATTCGGTTGGACGCACTGATGCACACTAGTGCATATTAAAGCCGTTGTACACTAATCTATGTACAAGTGAAATGTAAATATTTCGGATTATAAAATCAAATTTTACTTAACAGCACAGCAAAATGTATTAAGGATTTCATAGTTTAATCCGTTTTTATATTTATATTAAATACATATTTTTACATCAATTTAAGTACGATGGTTTTGTGCACTAGTGCACATACTGAGTGCATCCAATCGAATTTGCTATTAGATATATCACATACACTCATCTATATTTTTTCTCAAAATGGATAAAACATAATGTATCAATTTGCAATTACAGTAATAATTATAGTAGTAATTACAATAATATCATCAATAAGATTGACCTTCACTGGGTTTATGGCCGAATAATCCATTAAAGAATGCGGGCATTCTTGTAGAGCCTCCTATATCACTAGTAAGGGAGAATGGAGCACCACTCGCTGATACAATGGCTGCATCTCCTCCGCTACTGCCTCCAACAGTCCTAGTAGTGTTGTAAGGATTATTTGTCTGTCCATATACATTATTTCTTGATTCAGTCCATAAAAGAAGCTCAGGAATATTAGTGGTAGCAATTAAAATCCCACCAGCCTCTTTGAGGAAACGAACTGTTGTGGCATCTTCTTCTGAACGATGATTACGACGACTAAGTAGACCCATAGAATGAACTAAACCTAATAGGATAATTAATGATAATGAGAATATGATTAATTAATATTAATTCCATTATTATTTAGGATAGTAAAACTTTCTCTATTCTATAATAGATAAAATATTTATATTTATCTTTAGATAGGTACTTATTAAACTCGTGAAATTTAAAATTTAATAAAGTTTTAATTAAAACTTGTCAACTGAATAATTTTTAAAAAATAAAATCCTGAACTAAAAATTTTGAATATTTTCATACTGTTACATATGTCTTATATACCTTTAACCTGATTGCTTTCCTTTGTGGTAAAGGGTACTCCCAAGAATGGCTGCATTATTCTTATTTTCTCCAAATCCACACCTTTTTCTATCATGGCATCCACTGCTTTTGCTTCTTCAATTGCATCTGAGTATCTACATTCCACGACTGCATTTATCAAATCATTTACTTCCTTGCATCTTTCGATATAAGCTTTTACAATCTCTTCTGATGTAACTTTTTTTGTTCTAGAACAAAGTATGTATAAATATATATATATATATATAAGCACATATTCTTTTTATACAATATGTATTTAAATTCTAGATGAAGCTATATTTGAGACATTATTAAAGATTAACAATCTTAAATTTTCATGACTATCGTAGGCCTCGCGTATTCAATGATATTGAAGAATATAGACAATTGTCTTTAAATTGGTATAAATAGGCCAGTCTCCAGAGGCAAAAATGGTGGATAAGGAAAAAATTCTAAACAAGTAGTTTATTGTTTTAATTGGCAGTTTATAATGATTGCTCACAGTTTGCTCTAGAAATTTCGACAACTGATTAGGTACATATATAAGCAGTAATGTTATTGTATTCATAATGTGTCCTATTTTGATGTCAGCAAATGTATAACATATGCAATGCATTAGTTTGCACAATATGCTATATCATGCTTGGCTATCTGGGAATAGGAATTTTTCATACTTAATGAGAGTTATTCTCTCTTCAGTTTTATTTCAAATTGTAAATCTTTAACAAATTGTTATCTATTCATTCATATACAAATGACATTCATTATTTTAGAGAATAGCGTTAAGGATTATAGAATATGGTCCTAAATATCATTTACACACAAATAACATGACAATAAATATATACTTTAACAATAATTTGAATAAAGAATCAATAACTGTCCTACCTGATTTTTTCTGCTAAGGAAACAGCACTTTCTAATAATAGCTTATTCTTTACTGATGGTACCTTCTTTGCTTTCTTATCGTAGTACATGCCAAAGGCAAAGTCTACGATACTATCGAAGATAAAATGCAGGTGTATGATCACATACCGAAAAAAATTCCAGCACGACTTTTTTACAAACTGCAACATATCCTGGCATTGTGGAGAATCCTATATATAAATTATAGTATGTTAAGATCATAAAAATATTTATGTAACATTGAAATATAAACATTCTTTTTGCCAGATTCGTTCATTTCGTGTAAAAATGCAAAAATCGAACGAACCTAATTATATCAACATCGCAGGTGAGGAGGTTAAATTCAATTAACAAAATATGCAAATCATCTTTTGTAAAATCGATTTTCGCAAATCACGAAATTGTACGGCGATTTGAGTGCACATTAGAGTGAAGCTATATAATTATCGTAATTATATCAATATCACAGGAAGTCTTTGAATTTACCTTATTTTTTACGTAAGTGCACATAGTTTCGTGGAACCAGCGAAAAATATCAACAAAATTTATTTAAAATTACATCGATGTAGAATTGATCAAATACGTTGAACACTCAAAATACGTAACATGTAACAGATTTTTAAAAAATATTCACGTATATATATATATATATATGTGTGTTCCTTTAAAACTCAATTACACGCTGTTTCTTGCTCGATTACTTTTTAAGTAAAAAAATTGCCCTCAATGACACTTCTCACACAGTCAAAATTACTGCGACTAATGCGTCGTCTACAATGGCAATATAAAGCTGGTTCTACATTAGTCGCAACGCAGTGTCGCAAGAGTGTCGCAAGCGTCGTAGTCCAATCAGAGTTGAGCTAGCTTGACGTTGATTGGACCGCAACGCTTGCGACACGCTTGCGACGCTGCGATGCGAATAATGTAGAACCAGCTTTATAAACCCACCTTTATTCAAGCTTCAGGGTGAAATCACACGATGCGGAAAAAAATTTGCGGAATAGAGAATGCGTCATTGAAGCAACCAATCAGCGCTATTCCGAATATTTTGAAATTCTATTTAAGTCCATGAAAATAGGAGTATCCGATTTGAAACCAAATAGAACCGGAAAAAGCGCTTTTACATTTTCCATAGTTCAACACAGATGAGAGGTACGTCAAAATGGTCTAAAGTAAAAATGAAGGGAATTAAATGATCTTTCCAGTGGCACCTTTTTTTATGGTACCTGGTTTTATGATTGAACTTTATTTACGCCTTATAGAGAGCAAAAACTGCAAATAGGTCGAATTTAATATCGATTGGGGTGCACTAGCTACACTCAGTGTCAAGAGCGTGTTCGATTAGCAGTGTCAATGGTCGCGTTCAGCAGACTCAACTGTTGCGGAGCGGATCAATGAGCTCTCGCTGCTATTGGATGATCTAAAAGAATACACCAATAGCAGTGAGCGCTCACGGATCCGCTCCACAACAGTTGAGTGTGCTGAACGCGACCAATGCGCACTTAGCTAGTGTCACGTGTTCATTTCACCGCACGACACTCGCATAGTGCGCACTCAGTACGCACTAAGTGGCACGAGATATTTTGAGTGCCAGTCCAGTGCACTGGATAGATACATATATAGGATATCAGTGCGTCGTTTTGTCACAGTATGAAAGGATATACAGTACAGACAAGCAAATCTGTAATTTATAGCATGCAAATGTATACAATTATTGATAAGTATGTACATATATGATATTCTTCATATCTTATATATTATTTAATTACATATAGTACAAAATCATTACTTAAAGTTATGAACATGAGATGTCGAGGTTATTTTTCTGCGTTTTTCCTGCAGTCTAGTCAAGTCCTTACAATCTTATAACTCGAAATGGCACTTCAGCACTGAAATTCTTTAGCACTGAAAATCTTGGTGTTCTTTTGAATTTGCACTATTCAGTGCAACCCATGGAACTCGTCCAGTGTGATGTAAACTGAGTGCGCATTGGTGCACACTAACTTTTTCCCAATCGAAAACGCTATAAGTCATTTTTCCCTATAATTAAATATACATATATAATTACAAATAAGAAATATATATATACCTATATATATATTTATATGGATATATTTATATTTATATGTATGTACAAAAAATTCTTAAAAATATATACATAGTACATATAAATAATAGTGACATAATATTTAAAAAATTATATTCTAGTATTCTTATTTTAAAAATATATAGGTATAAATATATATTTTATAATCCTTATTTAATAACTAAAATATTTATAAAAATACCAATAACATTTCTGCAGCATCTTCAAAGACTGATTCTTATCTTCTTATTTGTCTCTTAATAAATCTTTCAGACATTTAATTTTTTTCTTAAACCTGTTAGATGCTCTTTGCAGTACCTTAATTTTTTTTCTCTGTTCTATTATCTTCATCATTGCTTTGTCTAATGCTTTTTTAGCTCTTCTAGGAGTGGCTAAATGAGATGCATTAATATCTCCAACATATCTTATTTTTAAAGATTTTAGAGTAGATTCTGAAATTTTATATAAAGTTATCAATATTTGGAATATTATTAATAATACTTAATACTATCTGAGATTGATAACATTTTTTGGTCTTATTAATAATTAATAAATAATAGCATTGTGTCATATTATCTAATCGTATAGATCAAACATGGAATATCAATAAAATTAGATTTAAAATTAAATTTACCTTCAACCATTTTAGGAGAAATATTTTCTGCAACATTATTCTGTACTAATAGAGTGCCATCTAATGTTTCATCATTATTTAATTCCGGTTCTAAATATAACACATATCGATAAATGTATACAGATTACATTAAATCATAATACAGGGAGTCTTTCTATAAAGTGATCATTCCTTTTTACCTCATAAACTAACAGAGATGGACTTAATAAATATGGTCTCTATTTAAACGATTATTGGAATGGATTCCGATCGGAATTATTCTGTTTTTTCTTAGAAATCTAGGGAATAATTGAATAATTCCGATTGGAATCCATTCCGACTTTGTTCCATGATAGGTACTATGAACAAATTAAAGAAATGTTGCACTGACATTTCTGACAGTGCAATTTGGCATAGCACCAAAGTGATTCTGCACATTTGATTTGAGAAAATAAGAATATCAATAGAACTAAGTTTACCTTCAATCTTAACAAAAATACTTTCTTCATTAGTATTCGTTTCTGGTATAGCATCTATTTTATTATTATCTAAGTATTCAAATCCTAATATAATATATAAGATTATTTTATTTTATTGTTATTATATTTATAATTATATTACAAGTATGTAATATATAAAAGTATTTGTAACTAACCATTATACAAATCTTTCTTCAACAATTTCAAGTTTGTATTATTAGCATTATTTGAACTAGTCATTTCTTGGTACAATCTGAAAATGCAATCATATGTTAGAGTTTTATGTTTTTAAAATAATATTTATGCGGCAATGTAAAATAATATTTATAAAGCAATATAAAACAATGTTTATGAGGAAACATAAAAGCAGTTTAAAGAATTCTATAAAATATGCACCTCATTCGGCATTTGTTTGACATTATAGATGGTACTGCATCTTTTTTTAAGATTAATTTGTTGTTTCCCACATTATATAAAAAATTTTCTTCTTTGAAATGTTTATTACAAAGCATAGTAACAGAGTTTATTTTTCTTTCATCCATTTGACAAAAATTTAACCATTTAGATCTCTGTACTGTATCCTTAGGAAACCTAAACATTGTGTGCAAAACAAATTTTTTAATTATTTTAATGTTGATTATAACTATACACTTAAAATATACACACATATTATATATATATAATTTAAATTAATTCAATACATAATCGTAAACCTTGGCTTATAAAATTATCACGAAGTAAGGCTATACTTACGCATGAAGAGATATTTTGTTTTGCTTCGTTAATATTTTGAGACATACAACGCAATAACGTCCCATTTTTTAGATAATTTTATATTTTTTCGTTTATATGTGAGCTTTGAACGTACTATAATGGTTGCAACCAGAGGGTTGATTGTGTATCTCGAAATGAGGTAAAAATTACAAAAGTGAGCAAATTCACTAGAATATTCATAATTTAATTGGTCAATAACTAGTGAATTTGCTCACTTTTTGTAATTTTCACCTCATTTCAAGATATACAATCGATTCCCAGGGTAGCGATCATATAACTTTTTTGGCTCTTGCACACAGAACGTGGCAACGCTTGCCGCGCGGCGATAATTCTCGCACTAGCCAATAATTCTATTGCTGAATTCACACTGCATCCGATTTTCGTCGTATAACGCTCTGCAACCAATCAGAAAACAGGATTCCGATGAATTTTGCTTCGTATTATCGGAATCCTGTTTTCTGATTGGATGCAGAGCATCGTACGACGAAAATTGGATGCAGTGTAAATCCAGCATATGTTCTTATGGCTCCTGCACACAAAACGCGGCAATGCTTATGCCTAATTCACACTGAACATAGCAAGCGTCAAGCAGCGAGCAGCAACCAGCAAGGCGATATTGGCTGCGTTCAGC